TAATTATATTAATTCAACTGTAAACCTAAAAATTTACAGCCAATTTTGAAAATGATGCATCCTACCTCAGGAAACCGTTATTGAATATGTCAATTGTGTTGTAATGATATGCTTCTTCTAAGTATGTTGTTATTAAATAAATAATTTAAAAAAAATTGAAATTAATGCAAAAAATCGATGATTTGTGGACTTGTGGCTATTATTATGGCTATAATACTACCTCAAGCCATAGGCAAAATTTATAAGCCATCTGGAGTCATCCTTCTATAAAGAATGCATTTATAGAATTGGTCCCTGAATCAGATTTAGTCCAAAGACTTTAAATTCCAATGGATGAGAGGGCTACAGAGGACTGGATTACAAACCCTACTGTGTGATCCAGCTATAAGACCCCCACCTATGCAAATTAAATTATACTAAACATGGGGGGAGATCTAGTTGCTTGTTATGGGGGAAGTAAAGACAGAAATATCAAATGAAGAAATGTGTGAAGATAAGTCCTAAGCCTTTGCTAAGGAAATTGGTGACATAAGTTATACTGTCACTGAAACGTCCTAGTAACTAGTTTGATTATGTGGAATTTGAAAGAGAAAAGATGAAAACAAAGAAAGTCTCAGGCCAAACATTTGCTTTCTAAAACTTGACCTTCTAAATTCACTCTTGAAGCACAGTGGTTTGGGTTGCCACATAATCCTCCACTGTTTCACTGTTTTGTTCTGGTTTTCTTTTGTTTTCCTGGCCTACCCAAGAAAGAAGCTTCTTAATCCACTCAATCAACAGTTGCTAACATGCGTATGTTTTCTACACAACAAGTACTGTTTTGAGTGCTTTACATACCTAGTAACACTTTAAGCATAGCAACAATTTATAGAGAGAAATGATCTCTCTATGTTTGCAGAAGACCAAACACGGCACTGAGATACCAGATTAACCATTTAATCTTCAAAAATCAGTCTCTCAGCTATTAGCTGTCCTTCCTTCCTGCCCTGGCTCTTCCCACAGTTCCCAGAGCAAGGAAGCAGATTGGGGCCAGGCCAAGAGAAGTTAACAAAGCAGGCAAAGAAGTCTGTTCCACCATATGAAATCTGGAGTCATTTAGGATTTACTACCACCTGTGTTTTGTTAGCACTTTTTTTTTTTACTAAGTAATCTTTTTTCTAAAAATAAAAATCTCTCCATCAACATAAACTAGGACTTCTTCTTTCTCTGTCTTATTTCCAAGGTTCTAATAGCAGTAGACAACAGACAGAAGTGATCTCATGAGCCTGTGTCCTGTACGTACAGAGAGTCTTTTCTACAAAGACTGCTAGAGGGTTGACAGTGATCCAGAGTGGCAGAAGGTTGAGCACTGGGGAGGAAGAAAGAGAAAACAGGAAAAGGGGAGGAAAACCAAAGAGGATATTTGGAACAAGAATTTTATTAGCAAATATCTGAACAATTCTATCTACAGGGAATGACTCTATCCCAGAAATAATCCACATGGCTAGGGAGGTCATAGATACTAGAGAAAACTCTATGTCTGTTACATCCCTAGACAAATGTAATTTCTTACTATATGCTAAATATGGGTCTTTATATTTACAGGTAAGTATACTAGTCACCACCTTCAAAGAAGCTTATTTTGCAACAGATGGAGACTATTACAGAGTTCCACAACTGGTCACACAGAGAATAAGTGTCTGTGAGATGCCCAACCCTAAGTGACACATCCACAATGGAACCTTTACACCTAAGGCTCATGGAACACAGTGGAATAAAAGGCAAAGAGAATATTAATGCACCTCTCAACTCTCATCAGTGAAGCTCTCTCATGCATCAGAGGGCAATGAACACAGAGGGGCACAACTGGTCAAGTGTAGAGAATAAGAGACTGCAGAGTGTATGTCCCTGGATAGGACTCCTATATTAAACCCAACCCACCCAAGGGCTCAGGGACCGTTGCAGAAAAAGGGGTGGAAAGACTGTAAGAGCCAGGGGTGGTACATGTAAGGAAACAGTCTTCCAGGGCTCTGGGGACTTGCTCATATGAACTTACAGCAATGGTGTCAACATGCACAAGACCCATACAAACTCAATCAGACAAAACCCAGCATAGAACTAGAGAAATGGGACAGCTGGTTCCAACTTTAGCCAAGGAACTATTGGCAACTGATTACTGCAGGGATGAGGGAGAGTTGGTCTTCTTTAAGGGAGAGACTCTAGACAGGCTGAACAGGCTCCAATGGATGAACTCACACTGACAAACATCTGGGCACACAAATTTGACTCGATAAGTCTTAACATATATGACAGAATGCATGAAATCCAGTGGGTGGACTATGGGGAGGTTACAGATAAGGGAGGGGACCTAAATATTGAGATGTATTATATGAAATCCATAATAATTCAATAATACATTGAAAAATTTTTAAAAAAATTTATCTGCCAGGCGTGGCAAACACCTTTAATCCCAGCACTCGGGAGGCAGAGGCAGATGGATCTCTGTGAGATCAAGGCCAGCCTGGTCTACAGAGTGTTCCAGGACAGCCCTGAATAGGGAGCCCCTGTCTCAAAAATACCAAAAAAAAAGAAAGAAAAAGGTTTATGAAAATTTTCATCATGGGGGACTGGAGTATGGTTCAATGGCTAATAGCGTGTACCACTCTTACAGAGGTCCTGAATTTGGTTCCCAGTACCCACAGTAGGGAGTTAACGCCAGCTCTTAGTCCTTCTAGGCTCTTGGGCACCTCTACTCATGTGTGTATATCCCCTCACCCCGCCCCCCAGCAATACCACAAAATTAAAATAAAATGCAAATAAAATATTTTAAAAACTTTTAAAATCATGAGCAAGGACAGGCAAATCTTGAATACTGGCTCATAAAGTGTTGGCAAAAGTGAACATGATTTACGGTGTAAACCAGCTATCATAAGGTTTATAGCCAGTGCCTGTGTTAAGAAAACACAGGTTCACATATTAGTATTGATTGTTTGCCCCTTTAACGTGATAAAAATCATAGCAAAAGCCTCCAGCATTCCGAACCCCACCTCTGCTACCTCACTAGGACTCTTTATACACAATGACTTCTTTGAGTCACCAGAAGATTAGCATTTATTCAATCTGGGACTTTTTTAAACATTCCTGAGATTTCTTAGGATCTAAAAAAAAAATGCCAAGGTACATCTGAAATGCTGAATTTGGTGGGAGAGGAAGAGGAAGGCCATGGGAAATTTGTCCAGAAATCTGATACCATCAAACGTTTGCTAAACCAAGAATGTTGTAAGGGAAGAGCTCGCCTCTGAGATGAGAAGGTGAAACTGGGGACAGTTTTGAGGGAGGAAAAGCCAAAGAACAGAACCTAGAATAACGGCTGGAATTCAACATGGGGAAGAGAGAGAGGCAGTTCAGGAGCGGGAGCAACGGTAGTAACTGGAGCTGGTTTTAAGGGTAAAGGAAACAGGAGCAAGACATTTTGTTCCAAGAGGGACTAGCATAGGAATCTTTGAAAGCACACAAGAGCCACAGTATGGCTAGAGTGAGGAATGTCAAATAAGTTACTGTGGCCAGGAGCCCATGTGAGGGGAAGAGATGGCAAAAAGTTTAAAAGGACAGATCAGGTCCAACCACGGTAAGAAAAAAGGTGATCTGGGAATGCAGTGGTATTAATGCATCTTACACCTGCTGTTCAGTGGAGGTATATCTGTTTATGGACAGCTGGAGGCAACATTTGGTTGAGAGTTTGCCACACAGGACAAAAAGTAAAAGAAAATGTAAACGTAAGAGTATAAATGTTTGTCTTCACTGAGCAAAGGTTTATTGTGATAAATCACCTTTTATGAAGGACATGCCTTACTCTAGTCAGACCTGAAAGTAAGCAATGTCTACATTTAATGAATTTAACAGACTAACAAGTCCACATACTGTGAAGGGGGCCACAGGCAGGATGCTGAGGAAGACTTCAGAGATGTTTCAGAGGTAGACACTGCTGCAATCTGGAAGGAATCTGGACCTGATAGATGGAGGAGAGAACAGAAAATCCAAGAGTTTTAGAATGAAAAAAACAAAAAACCCCAAATACATGCATAGTCTGTCTCATATTTTACTGGGCATATGCATTTGACTCGTTTCTAAACTGGGTGTCAGTGTTTTCTGAAGCTCATTTAAGACAAATCGTGAAGTGTAGTTCAATCAGAGAGCACACAAGCATTCTCTTTCCCCAGAAACCATTTATATGTGTTTACCACTAATCAGCACAGATTAGTAGGTGGCTGATAGTTCTGGGGGTGGGTTTCTACCTTCCAAAATGCCATATTTTACTATGCTTCTTCTAAAAAAATAGTAGATATGAATTTGTTAAATAATGACTAAGGACCACCTAATTGATCCCAAATACTGTTCAGACTGAGAGTAGGCATATCTTCCTAACTGACCAAGGATAGTCTTCAATTATTCTTGACAGTAAAGAATGCTAAGGTTCCCTGAATACTTACAACACTTAAGATGCCTTTCAATGAGGATGACAGAGATGTGAGATGAAAAGGCCCTATCAGTTAAGGAGATTGAAACCTGAGTTAAATCAACCTGTTAAGCTTCTTTTGTATAAAACCCCAGCAGTTATAGAAATAATTGTGGAAAAAGAGGAAAAAATGGGTTGGACAGATGGCTCAGCAGTTAAGAGCACTGGCTGCTCTTACAGAGGACCCGGTTTGGTTTCCAGCACCCACATGGTGGCTAATAACCATCTGTATCTCCAGTTCCAGGGGATCCAATGTCCTCTCTTCTGACCTTTGCAGGCACTGCATGACATGCACTTACATACATGCAGGCAATACATTCATACACAAAATAATAAATGAAAATATTTTTTTAAAAAGAGGAAAAGAAATATGAAATCTCAGGTAGATTTTAGAGGCTACGTCACAAAATCTTGAACTTGACTTTTCAAAATTTTCTTGCCTACAGACCTGGTAGCACACTCTATTGTACAGTAAAGAAGTTTCTAATGTTAATTCACCACAGAACAGAAAACTTAAGTGACCAACCAAAGTCAGACTTTGAACTCATAACATTAAATGTAAAAATTATTTTTGAAAAGTAGAAAGTAGAAGTATTTTGGAAAGTAGAAAAAGCAGTATTTTGAGGGCAGAAGGGCTATATCTTGCCAGACTGTGATTGCCCACATATTACAGCTTTTGTTCTGATAAAATTCCAGGGCCATTTAAATTCCATTACAGCCACATGCAAAATGAGAGCTAAGATCCCCCCCTCCCCAACTCCTTCATACTGTTTACCAGGTTCCAAATATATATATTTTTAATTTTTACAAAAACTTTATTGAGAATTTCATACATGCATATAAGGTGTTTTGATCAAATCCCTGCCCACTCCCTTCCCTCCAACATTTCCGTCCCCCTCTGAAGAGGTAAGCCTAAAATCTTTTAAGAATTAGATAAAAGCTCCCAAATACTTTTGACATTTTTGGCCTTTGTTGCTAAGAAGACCAAAGACATTTTGACTTTTTAGCCAAGAAACTGGCTACATTTCTTTGGGGTCTTTTTACCCTAACTGCTTAGCCAATTCCTACCTCCTGCTCTTATCACGCCATCCTCTGAAGGGGCTACCCAAATTGCCAATAGGATATAGGGACGCCAACCACTCTGGCTTCTTCTATGCGGAACAGAGATACAGGGTGAGGCAATTGGGGTACCCCTTCTATCTATCTAAAAGACTCCCAAATTGCATAACTGGTCTCTAAGGGGAGAAGAAAGTCCTTGAATCGTGAATAGGAGATGCGAAGGAGAAGTAAAGGCAAGAGTAATTAGCATTACAAGTTCTAGACAGGGAACTAGAAAAAAGTCAGAACAGGGCACTTTTCAAATGTTCCTACAAGAGTCCATTGGAGTTCCTTGACATGGGCTTCCAAAAGCATCCCTCTATTGTGTTCCTTCTCATTTTTCTTTTGTCTTCCAAGGCTGGACTAGTTGGCTGGGAAGAGTGGCTGGATACAGGTTCCAAATATTTTATCTAGGCTGTCTTATAACCAAGTATTGGAATGGTGATTTGGAGTTTGTCAGAGGTTTGTTTAATGTTAGGTAAAATGCTGCTCTCTTAGCCAGAGACTTAATGAAGACTCAAACTGAAAAAAAAAATTTTATATTACATATTATTAAGAATCCCAAATAAATGTTTTTAAATAAATTTTTTTTATTCAAAGTTCACCTCTTGCCTGATCAATCTTATCTTTAAATATGATAATTCCTATATATAAATATTCCTGCATATAAAAAGCAATACATAAAGTACTGCATACTGGAAGAAAAATAATTCTACATTCATACCACTTTGGCTACATCTTCACTGGCAGGGATTTAACGTCCAATAACACAGCTCTTTTGATAATCTGTTAGATCTCAATTGAGCAAACATAAAATCACCACCCCAATAGTGTCCACCTTGCTCTTCAAATTTTCTCCCGCTTTCTTTCAATATGTTCTGAAATGCCTCAGAACTCAACCCCTTACAATCTGAAAGTCATCAAGTGCAATGATTTTAACCAAAGTGACCCATTTTAAAAGATGACCCATTTAGAAACTCATGAGTTCCAAGTTCTATATCTGACAATTAGAGAGTTATTTACTTTTACAACAAAACTCCCTGCTTGGATGCTTTGTATAAAGGGGATAAACTTGATTTTAATTAAACATGTGATTCGACTTCGTTTTGAAAATTCATTTCCACCTTCTGCAATTTTTTTAGTAAGCAAGACAATTATAAGCATCTCTTACTCATTTTTTACCTCTCACTTCCTCAGGAAGAGCATCTTTAAGTTAGAGAACTTTCCCTCTCATAAAACACATCCCAACCTTAGGGTGTCAGGGTGTGTGCTTAATAAAACACTGACGGAGTGGGGGAAGGGAGAGAGAGGGAGCAGGAAGGAGACAGCATTTTAAATACGCAATGGAATTTATCTTGCTTTAGAAACAAAGACCCGCTAGGGATTGAACCCAGGGTCTTAACACTTGTGTTAAGCCTGTTCTATCCTTAGCCCTCAGGGGCTGGTCCCTAATCATCCTTTCGGAGTGTTCAGGACGGGCTTATTTCTCTCCCCTACATAGTACATCTACCTTTAATTGTCCTTTTCTGGGTCAATTTCAGCTTCTCATATCCCTTTCCCTCCCCCATCCCCGCCTCTGGTGATTAGGCTGTTTCCCAAAATAAAGGCATAGAGGAAGAAATCCAATTCTAATGGGTGTACTTTCACTAGAAAGTTACACTAAATATTAGCTCCATCAACACCAACCACTATGCGGTGATGACAACAGTGGTGCCCCGTAACATGATCTATCACTAAGAAAACCCACACTGCTGCAAGAATGCAGTGCAGCCACAGGCAAATCTCCAGGCGTTACTTTCACCTACATGGTTTCAGGGCAGGCCACTAACTCAGTCCCACCAGCAGGCAGTGACTTTTGGCATTGTTAAGCAAATAGGAGTTCCTCCTTAGGAAGAGCGCTTCATTTCCCAGGCTCCCCTTCCTGCCGCACTTCCCTAGTTGCATTTCTCCAGCCAGTACCTAGCCAATAGCTCTGGCTAGCTACCCCTCTGCAGCCCACCGCGGGCGTTCAGCCGGAACTCTGTCGCGCATCCTTCGGAGGTGAGCAGCGTGGGACTCCACGCACCAGAACTGGGCCGGGCCACCGACCCGCAGCTGCCTCCCCGCAGCCCAGCGACCGGGGGCTGCGTCCGGCGCCCGCGCCAGCAGGGCTCAGCGAACAAAGGCGCCCCGCCAGGGAAGGCACGCGCCTGCTCCGCCGCGTTCCGGCCGGACCCCCAGGCCCGGGACGCGCCCCGCCCCGCCCGCGCGAGCATTCCGCGGGATGCCCGGAGCCGCCCGAGGGGACCGGCCGCTCTTTCTCTTACCCAGGTCGGTCCGAGCCCGCAGAGGTCAGACGCGGCCGGGCGGGTCTGGGCGGCCTGCACATCGCGCCTGCAGCCCCGGGGAGGACCTCAGCGGGCTCCGGCCGGCACAAAGGAAGCCTACCCTAGCCGGGCCTGGGATTCCGGTAACCGGTGCGGAGCTCCCCGGGCTCCAGCAGAAGGCAGGCACATCCACCCCCCGGCGGCCTCGGCCCCGGGGCAGTTCGGCCGGCGCCCGGCGCACGCTTTCATCGCAGAAGCAGTGACTGACCTCGGTGCACGTTACACCCACAGCAGCGTCTGTTGAGACTCCCGGCCCACCCGGCATTACAAGCAGCAGTTATTCACGAGCAGTGAGTTCGGACTGGGTGGGAGTTCTCTGATCATCTTGGTTGACAGGCAGGCGAGTCTTTTGTCACAACACTCGCGGCTTGAGCTTCTGGGGGCCTAAATAACAAAGGAAGGAAACTGGACTTTACATCAAACGACGAGAGCACGGCCACAATCCGTTTTCAAAGTAAACCCCTTCCCCCTGCTGACTACCTTCGCGAGCAGGTTAATTTCAGCGGGAGTTACAGCAAAACTCACCGAGTGCGAGCCAAGTCCCCAAACGTCCCAGCCAGAGGCGGAGAAAAAGTCACTGGTGTCAAGCGTAAAACTAGTGGACCTTAAATCTCGGGCGTGGGCCGGCAGCCGAGGCCCCGAGCGGGTGGAGTAGCCGAGTGGGGCGGGCCTGACCGAGGGGCCTGGCCCGGGCGGGCGCAGCCGAGGGAGCCTCCCTCGCACGGCGTTGCCTGCGCAACTCCGGGCGTCACTTCCAAAGCGTGGCTCCGCCCGCCTGTCCGCCCCCACTCGCCGGGTTTGAGTAGGTGATGAGCACAGCCAGAGCTCGCTGTCTGCGGCGGACTCCAGGAAGTGATTCCCCAAAGTCTGCAAGTAACTGGGAGCATCCACATGAAAGTCCTCGCGCAGCCTGTAATCAGGCACCATCAGAATGTGCACGTCGGCTGGAGGGAGGAGCTAGTGGATAAATCTCTTTTGAGTTCGGTTGCTTGCTCATTAAATGTTCTAGCTCTTTCGTTATTGAACAAAACATTACCATTCATCAGACGTCCTGTTTTAATCGGTTTTGTAATTACACGTATTTCAAAACAGGACAAACAAAAGATTAAGCTAAATATTCAGTAAAATAAACTTTAGGTGTTTTGTAAAAGGTAAGGGATTCAAAGTAGTTTGCCGAGACAGAGTTTAAAACTGTACATTAAACGTTATATTTTCCCTTTCAAACTATTTTTAGGATGTCCTGTGAGTGCTTTTTTAAAGCCCTTCAGCGTATTTCTAATCATGAAATTCTTTTCACGAATTACCACAGAAGGCGTGTCTCAATGTCTCATCACCTGTTAGTCTCACCTGCCCACAAGACCACAGGCAAATATTCATGTAAGTGACTTCTGAGAGGGTCTGATGTGCTCAAATAAGCTCGCTCATTCTTACTGTAGGGTCAATCACTCCACTTATATCCTGAAATCATAATCTCCTATACGTTCCTCCCCTAAAACATTCACATGTTGTATTCACATACATTCAGTTGTGACGTTACTCCTTTCCAGTCATTTGGAGTTAGTTCCATGTGTCAACATATGTATGTTCCACACACAGGAATATGTGAGACTGGACCTACAGGAAATAACTGATGTAAAACTGATACATATATAAAGCACATATTCATCCCATCCTACATACAGATAGACATGCTGATAAGTGATTTAAAAAGTCAACTCAGGCATGGTGTCATGTTCCTATAATCTCAGCACTCAGGTTGAGACAGGAGGATTGCCATGAGTTCAAGGTCAGTCCAGAAACTGGTGAAGAGATTTGGGGAGTTTGGTGCTGGAGAACCTGAGGCTGAGAGATGGAGAAGGGCAAAGTGGCCCACAATGCCCTCTCTGGGCCCATATACATGACTGACATTTGATGTGTGTCCACACTTCTGGGGATAGGAAAGGGAGGTTCCTTTATCCATTTCCTGAAGCAGGCTGGCTTCCCATCCATAGCACCCCAGGAAAAGGGGAAGAGAATGTAGGGTTGGAGGATGTGGGACTCAGTAACTGTCCTTAGATTTCATGTAGTTTTTGAGATGGGTTGGAAATAAAATTAGATGACAGCAACGTGAGGAAAGAGGTCAGTGTGTTCTCCTGTCCACAGTAACTGTTCGTGAGCATAGAGCCCTAGAAATTCCATACACAAATGACTCTGAATCATACTAATAGGAATGTGTTTTGCAGAGCACCAGAGAACTGTGGAAAATACGTGAAAAATAAAACTAACACCAACATGTTAAATTGAAAAGTGAAAGGAGTTGGCATTTGCATGTTAGAAGGAGCAGATAAGACAGGCAAAGGGGAGGGAGGGAGGGAGGAAGGAAGGAGGAGGAAGAGAGAGAAAGAATAAAGAACAGACAGTGGGGTATGGAAAGAACACTAAGTCCTGAGTGCAAGAGCACTTACCACACTGCCGAGCAAAGAAAAGCCCAGTGTTACTGAAATTCTGGAAGGAGGAGCAGGCTTAGCAACTGACTTAATGCCCAACACAGTTGGATCATGTCACCATGAGTCAGAGTTGACTCGCTCAGCTTGATTTGCTTTTTGGATTCTGTCAGATCAGGCTCCATACGGACATTGTCCAGTAAATTCCAGAATATTACAGGCTTGGTATTCTGAAATTGGCCAGCCTTCATGCAAGGCTTCCCTTGTCAAGATATTGACCTAGCTTCCTATGTGCGATCTCATGCAAGGTTCCCAGCTTCTCTGAACCCCTATTACCTATCTGCTGGATGAGCAAAAACCCAGGACAGTTACAGTTAAAAGCAGAACACAGTGACTGGGCTCATCCTGATGAATAGGGTGCATGGCTGCCATCTTTATCCCAACCACAGGCTGTAGAAATCTTACCTGGAGAAGAGGGAGAGAAAGGGTCTGGCTTCATGCTGTGTACCAGAATCACCACTGTTCTAATCTGCCTTCTATTGCTGTGACAAAACACTCTGATCAATACCAACTTTGGGCGGGGTTTATTTGGCTTATATCTTGTGTGTCACAGTTCTTCAGGGAACTAAGGTAGGAACTCAGGGCAGGAACCTGGAGGCAGGAGCTGAAGTACAGGCCATGGAGGAACGCTCCTTACTGGCTTGCTCCCCTGGCCCATGCTCAGCCTGCTTTCTTATACAATACAGGACCACCTCCCCAGGGGTGGCACACCCACAGTGGGCTGGGCCCTCCCACATTACTCAAAAATCAAGAAAATACCCTATAGATATGGCCACAGGCCAGTCCACGGGAGGCGATTCCCCAATTGAGGCTCCCTTTACCCAGGTGTGTCAAGTTGACACTAAAGCTATCCAGCACAACCACTATGAGAGGATCAGGCAGAGGTGGCTTCGCACTATGTGCCAGTTTCACCTTCATGCCCTGTGCCAGTGTCTCCACCATGAGAGGATCAGCTCTGCCCCCCCCCCCACCATCTCTGGGAGCTCCAGTTGTTGAAACAGTGTCACTCCTTAAAAATAACATACCTTTCCCCAACTTCCTCTTCTACTTACCACCCACTTGTCCCTCCCACTCACGTACTGGTCTAGGGTGGTTGTTTCTCCCACACTTGCTCCTTGGTGACGGCTCCCATTGCCTTTCAGTCCCGTCTGTATTTCTTGCTTAGATTCTAAGATTCTTAGATTCCTCAATATAGTGGGTGTAATGTCAAAACGTATGTTCAAGAAACAGAAAGTGAATACTCCAATGACTGCAATTCACTTTTTCTCATGAAATGGGAAATGTCACTACATGCCCAGAACAATCCATGGCATCTCGCCACTGTGAAAATGATCTGTTTTCCTGGCTAGTTTGAGAATCTTCACGCACTCTGGCCATGAAGGTAGAGACTGATTCTCTCGAGAAGCTCCAAAATGCCTTGCACAGAGTGAATGCATGCCATGTTAGTCTCCGCATGACGTGAACTTTTGCTGAGTGCCTCTACGTTCAGCAGATGTTCACAGTTTCATTCGAAGAAGCCCCGGGCACAGCACAAGGCCCCAGTGTATTCCTTCCTCATTGCTACCACAGCCCCAAAGGACTTTGGCAGCTAGTGAGACAATACTAAGCCTCTCTAACACTGCACTGTGAAGGAAACTAGGTCCTCACCACAGCTCATTCCGAGAACCTACTCTGTTCTAGCCTCTTGTCTTTGGCCTAAGAGAGGCACTCTGGACCTGGTTCTATCCATCGTCCCAACACACAAGTGTATGGTCTGAGCCTCAGTAGGGCCCCATCGGGACAGGAACAGTCTTGAAGGGGCAGGCTCTACTTACTGGGACTCATCTTGGGCCAGTACAGCTATTTTATGAATAGGGTGGGCTTTACCCAGGGACAGGGAGAAATTGACAGCTTCCCTCAGAGACTGCCAACACTCAGGCAGCTCTGTGGCAAGGACACATGTTTACTCTCAGATCTCTTCTTCCTTCCCCACCCACTGGCAGATTTTACAGTTAATGCTTCAAGGGCCATATAGGGTCCTGAGCAAGTCCCCAGGGGACTCCCTCTACCTCACCTCTCTCTTAATCAAGGGACACATTCAAATTGAGTGAACAAGTGACATATTTGTAAGGATACTCTTAAATGCCGCCTGACTCACATTAATGTTTTAAAAGGCATCTGGCACTTAAACTTGCCATATCTAAACAAAGGAAATGGTCTGGGCTCTGTGCTAGGTTAGAAGAAAGGAAGAAAATTCTCGTCATAGAGGCGTTCAGAAAATAGAGGTTTTTCAAAGTATCTTTTTTGTTCATATTTATTTGGTAAATGTCTGTTATAGGGTATACAGGTTATGTCTTATATGACTATGGCATACATCTTTAAGTTATCATAGTCTTTTCAAATATCATTGTCACTTGAAATATACTATAAAAACCTTACAACAGTGAACTTGCATTTGCCCCACATCTCTTCTATTCTCGTGTTTAACTTCTAAATATGCTAAAAACACTCTGATCAAGTACACAGTATTTTACTTTAAATTCAGTTATTTTTATTTAAAAAAGGTTTTTGAGGTATACTTAATGTCATGTTTGTCACTTTTAAAGTATACAATTCAGTGATTTTTAGTGTGTCCACAGAGCTGTGAATATATCACCATTATTTTCTTCCAAAGCACATTCCTCCAGAAGAAGCCCTGTGATGATCACACTCACTTCCCATTTCTCCTACTCTCCCTCTCTTTGGATTTGACTAATCTGGGCATTTCGTGTAAGTGGAACCATGTGTCAAATGAAAGTATAGGAGGTCACTATTTCAGACTGCACTGAGCCCAGCAGACTGGATTAAAAGTAGAGTGGCGTCATATTGAATGTACCTGTCACTATTTAGCATGTTTTCAGGGTTCATCTGTGTTGTAGCATTCTAACTATATATTTATATGATTGGCAATATTCTATTGTAAGAGTATGTAGTTTTTGACTGTGGTGTGGTGCCAGACTAGAATCAGGTATTTGTATTGGGAACTTTCCATGTAAGTTTGGGTGGGATGATATTTAATGGACAGTAACAATGCAAATGTCTGTCTACGCCTCCCCCCTTTGTAGGTGCTGGAGAAAACCTAGGTCCTTGAACATGTAGTCTATACTGAATAAATCCCCAGCCTCTTTTTCTTTAATAGTTATTTATTACTAAATACTCATTACCTGCTTTATGGAGTATTGATGCTTCAAGTCCTAGTAGAAACATTCAGCTCCAAAAAGTAATTAAGGACCCAAGCTGTGTTTGAACTGTATTTAGTGCTATTTACCATGAATAGAACATTGATATTTAGAAATAGTTTCCTATACCGAGAACTGTGTTACAACAGAACTTCTGAAAAGCCCCTTCTGAAGCCTTTGATTTCATCTGAAATGGTGCACGTCTTGGTTGGTTTGATGGTCTAAAGTAAGGCATCCTAAACTTTTCAAGACTCCTTTTTTACTTGAGAAGTTTTTATGTCACCCCAGGCATATTTTATAAAAATCGCTATATAAACTAAATACTTCCTGATAATAAATCATAGATAAATTTATTTTAAAACAATTCTTTGTTATACATATACATTTACTATTTATTACAGATTAAAGCAAATTTACATACTAATGAGATGGATGTACTGATTTAATTTTATGTAAAAAATTGAATCCTGACTGAATATTTGAGATTGAAGGACGCAGCACACACCAGCATTTCCCAG